TCGCCCTGTTCGGCCTCCCGGGAGGCCCTCGTCGCCACCGCTGGGTTCGCTTCGAAGTCTTCTGCAGTGCGCACCCCGGGAGAGGTCCTCTTGCTTTCCGATGGCGTCGTGAAAAAAGAAACAGGACGGGCGGTCTTTGTCCGTGGTAGGCCTCTGGGGGCTCTCACTGGACCCCAGGGCCGTCAAAAAACAGGTCAGGATGAAAATGGACAAACCAAACATGGCGTAAACGGAAACTTTCGAAGCTCTGCGCGGATTTCTTGGATCCGCGCTGAGCCCCCCTGGCACGCTCCGTGCGCCCGGGAGGGGGGCCCATCGCAGATACAATGAATCCGTGCAGAGCTCCACCAGTTTATCCGTAAGGGCTTCGCCCCATGCCGCCAGCCCCCTGTCTCGGAGAATGGGAGATGCAAAAGCTAAATCATGAGGTCTGTGCGCCGCCGTGAAGCAGTGTCGGGACCTGTTTGAGTTTCGACTCTGACCTTACGGATCTGCGTGAGGGGTGCCACCGAACTTCAGAAATGTTGAGAATCCCTTGTGTTTTTGGACCCTGACCCTGCGGATCTGCGTGAGGGGTGCCATCGAATGTCAGACATGTGGCAAATCCCATGTGTTTTTGGACCCTGACCCCGCCGATCTGCGTGAGGGGTGCCACCGAATTTCAGGAATGTTGAGAATCCCATGTGTTTTTGGACCCTGACCCTACGGATCTGCGCGAGGGGTGCCATCGAATGTCAGACATGTTGCAAATCCCATGTGTTTATGGACCCTGACCCCGCCGATCTGCGTGAGGGGTGCCACCGAATTTCAGAAATGTGGCAAACCCCAAATGTTTTTGGACCCTGGTCCCGCCGATCTGCGTGAGGGGTGCCACCGAATTGAAAAACTGTAGCAATTCCTATGTGTTTTTGCACCCTGACGCCGCCGATCTGCGTGATCGGTGCCAGCAAATTTCAGAAATGTAGCAAATCCCATGTGCTTTTGGACCCTGACCCCGCCGATCTGCGTGAGGGGTGCCACCGAATTTCAGAAATGTCGCAAACCCCCTGTGCATTTGGACCCTGGTCCCGCCGATCTGCGTGAGGGGTGCCACCGAATTTCAGAAAAGTGGCAAACCCCTTGTGTATTTGAACCCTGACCCCGCCGATCTGCTTGAGGGGTGCCACCGAATTTCAGAAATGTGGCAAACCCCCTGTGCATTTGGACCCTGGTCCCGCCGATCTGCGTGAGGGGTGCCAGCAAATTGCAGAAATGTAGCAAATCCCATTTGTTTTTGGACCCTGACCCCGCCGATCTGCGTGAGGGGTGCCACCGAATTTCAGAAATGCTGCAAACCCCAAATGTTTTTGGACCCTGACCCCGCCGATCTGCGTGAGGGCTGCCACAGAATTTCAGAAATGTGGCAAACCCCTTGTGCATTTGGACCCTGACCCCGCCGATCTGCGTGAGAGGTGCCACCGAATCACAGAAATGTGGCAACCCCCCTGTGTTTTTGGACCCTGACCCCGCCGATCTGCGTGAGGCGTGTTAATTTTGACCGACCCCAGCAATTCAGACAACACGCTCAGGGCGTGCTAAACCTGACCGCTTGGGCCCCCCCCCCTCGCGCGGTCCATCAACAAGGAACGGTAAGCAGCAAGAAGCAGAACTGTAGCAGTGGAAGCTGGAAGCTGCAGCTGGTACAGGAGACTGCGAACCTTCGGCCTACAGCCTGGTGGCCCCACAAGGGGGCCGGCGGATGTTGCTGAAGTTTTTCATTTCTTCTTTCTTCTAGAAAACCTGTCCCGGGGAAAGGACCGGGACGTCGGGAACGCCGTGCTGGAAAAAGCAGAAACACTTTTTGCAAGAGCGACCCTTCGCTCGCCGAACCCCGAGGTCCAGGCGTCGCAGGCGACGTTTCTGTCCCAACCCCCAGCATTTCGACGAAAAATGAAGCGACGAAGAAGGGAGGGGAACCCTGCGATAGACCCCCAGTTGCCTTTTGGATGCACCCCTATCGAGGATGGACGCCCCCCCCTCGTATATCCCAGGGTTGGGCCCCAAATTTCTGGCCCTTTCGAGTAACCCCGCAAAGCCTGGGAGGGGGGTCGACATATCCCCGGTTACAGTGTCGGGCCCCAGGGCCACCACAGATCGATTTGGCTCGAGACATGCCGCAGAAGCATGGGGTCTGGGGCTCCATTCGCTGTTTTTCGTGATGTTGCAGTTGTTCGCAACGTCGGATCCCAGGGGAGTGACCTCCGGTGCGGTCCCACTGGGGTGCACCGATCGCTGAATGCGATGCGGTCGCGGCGGCTTGCAAGCACGAGTTTGGACCCCCGAGATCCACGCACTAGGGGTCACTCTTGCCTAGGGTTGCCCTGGCATGGGGTCAAAGGGGGTCCTCTCTCCTCTCCTCGCCTATCCCCTCATCCGTTTGTTCTGATAGTAGCGCCCCCCAAAGATTGGCCCGAGCTGGTTTCCCTCATGCATGTTTCAATCCGAACGTCTTCGTTCCCTTGAAATGGTGTTCCCGCTGCAGCGTTGGCCTCATTTGAGCGTTGTCAGTCCTTTCAAAATGGTGCTCCTGCTGCAGCACGGGTCTCATTTTAGGATCTGGGCTGTGCTCCCGCCGTCCAACATGGCGCTTGCGCCTTAGTGCGGTCTACTTTTCTGTATCCGAGTGTTTCCTCGTTGTCGCCCCGCCACGTGCCCCTCCTCCGCCTATCTCGTGTCCTCCTGCTCCTCCCGCTCCTCCCTCTCAAGCTCCTGCGGCTGTGACTGTTCGTCCTCGGCATCCTCCTTCCTCATCCGCCTCCACGTCATGGCGGGAGCGCACCTAGCCAGCGTGTCTCCTCCCCTCTTTCCTCTCCTCCCTCTCCTCTCCTCTTATCCTCTTCCTCTCTCATATCCTCCCTCTCTCCTCCCTCTCTCCTCCCCTCCTTCTGGCATAACGCAACGGGGTCATTTGGGGGCTCCAGATGCGCTATGACACCAGCCCGCGCAGGGAGCAGGAATCAGCGCAATGGGCAGGAATGGGCAGCATGGTGGGAGGTCAGATATGGCGCGAGCGCACCTAGCTTGATATGAATACGACCCCCCCCCTTCTCCGCAGATGGTCGGGGAGTTGCGCGACCCCCTCCGCGCATCATGTTGTTCAACGGTGAGTGCCGAGCTGCGTTTGTCCTTGCCAATTCAGAACGATGTGCCCGCTGCAGCATGGGCCTCATTGTAGGATCGGGGCGATGCTCCCGTCGTCCAGCATGGCGCTTTCGCCCCAGCGCGGGCCATGTTTCTGGAGTCGAGTGCTTCCTCCACGTTGTCGCCACTCTCATATCCCCTCCTCCGCCTTCGCCTGGTCCTGCTGCTCCAATTGCTCCTTAGATTCGAATTTCTGCTACTGCTGCTCGTCCTCCTTTTCCTCTCCATGCCTCACCCCTTTTTTCTCGGTCAGGTCGTAGGCCCAGGGTTCTCTTTTGGTTGAGTACCACCGACCTCGACGGTTGTAGGGTTGACGAATTTAACATGCGATACATAACGAGGTCGATAAACATTTGAGGATATCCCGAGCGAAACGCTTGTTTTGCAGAAACTGTTGAGGATGTCTCGAGCGACGCGTTTGTTTTTTGCAATGTAGTGTCCCTCTCCTCCGCTCTCCATCCTCATCCTCATCCTCCTCCTCCTCCTCCTCCTCCTCCTCCTCCTCCGCCTCCTCCTCCGCCTCCTCCTCGTCCTCCTCCTCCTCCTCCTCCTCCTCCTCCTCCTCATTGTCTCTCCTCCTCCTCCTCCTCCTCCTCGCCTCATCTCTCCTCCTCCTCCGTTTCCTCCTCCGTTTCCTCCTCCGTTTTCCTCCTCTCCTCTTGCTCTTCCTCCCTCCTCGAGCCTTCTCCTCCTCCTCTCCTCCTCCTCCTCCTCCTCCTTTCTCCTCCTCTCTCCTCCGCTCTCCTCCTCCTCCTCCTCCTCCTCCCTCCTCCTCTTCCTCCTGCTTCTCCTCCTCCTTCTCCTCATCCTTTCTCTTCTCTCTCTCTCTCCTCTCTCTCCTCCTCCTCCTCTCCTCCTCCCCCTCCTTCTCCCCTCCTCCTCCTCCTCCTCCTCCTCCTGCTCCACGTCCTCCTCCTCCTCCTCCTCCTCTCCTCCTCCTCTCCGTCCTCCGTCCTCCTCCTCCTCTTCCTCCTCCTCCTCCTCCTCCATCCTCCTCCGTCCTCCTCTCTCTCCTCTCCTCCTCCATCCTCCTCCTCCTCCTCCTCCTCCTCCTCCCATCCTCCTCCTCCTCCTCCTCCTCCTCTTCCTCCTCTTCCTCCTCCTCCTCCTCCTCCTCCTCCCCCTCCTTCTCATCATCTCTCCTCCTCATGATCTCTTCTCCTCTCCTCATCCTCCTCTCCTCCTCTCCTCCTCCTCCTCCTCCTCCTCCTCCTCTTCCCTCCTCCTTCTCGGTCTCCTCCTCCTCCTCCTCCTCCTCCTCCTCCTCCATCATCCATCATCCACCCTCAATCCTCCATCCTCTGTCCTCCGTCCTTCTCCTCCTCCATCCTCCTCCTCCTCCTCACTCTCCACTCGGCCCCACCCTACCCCCGTCCCCAGGTCTGGCGTACGTGCTGCCGCTCATCGACTCGATCCAGTTCGGGGCCGCGCTGGCCCAGACGCTTCCCGCCTTCGCGCCCCTCATTGGGCTCCTGGCAATTCCCTCGGTCGTCGTGACCGCCGTGCCATACGGCGTCGGCACCGTCGTCCTGTTCGCCGTATGGCTCCTCGCGAGCTGCGCGCCGGATTGTCCGAGGCTGCTGCGCTTCAGCCTGCTGCAGGCGGTGTACCTGGACATGGCGTTCTACCTGCCCACGGCCGCCGCGACCGCCATCAACGGAGGACTGCCGACCGAGATCGCTGCATTCCTGTACCTGTGCCTCCTCGCGGTGTGTGTCTACTGTGTCTTCGTGAACTCGCGCGGGGAGTATCCCGACGGCCTGCCAGTGATCTCTTGTTTTGCGCAGAGCAACCTCGATCAGATGGCCGAGGGCCAGTAGGCGTGCGGCAGTGTTATTGAATCGCGTCGCTCATTCCGCCGGCCCATATTGCCTCGCCACTGTGGCTGTCGTCTGTCGGGGTGTTGTTGTCAATGCGGTGCCGATCATTCGACAACTCGGAGCCCTCTTGGACCGTCTTGGGCGCCTCTGGGGGCTCTCTTGGATCGCTCTGGAGCGCCAGAAAGCCGCGCCCAGGAGGAAAACCATCTCTGGCCCGACCCTGCGGGAGACCTGGCCATGGTACTTTGCGTCTGGGGACCCCTTAGAGGCCGCCCCGAGCGCGCGAAGTAGAAATACTGTGAAGCAGTTGCTGGAGATCTTAGCACGCCTCTGACCGTGCTTGGGTGGTGGGTCAGAGGCCTCATGGATGTTGGTGGGGCTCTCGCGGTTGGCCTCTCGGGGGCCTCTGGGAAGGCAGTTTTGAGGCCTCTTAGGGGCCGTGTTGGGGCCGCTGAGGGGCCTCTTGGGGCTTCTTGGGGTGCCTCTTGGCGGCCTCTTGGGGCCTCTTGGCGGCCTCTTGGAGCCTCCTGGGGGCCTCTTGGGGCTGAAGGCTGGACGTTTCGGTTCCTGGTCCCCTTGTTGGGCCCCTCTTGGGGCCGTTTTGGTGCCCTCTTGGGCCGTCTTGGGCGCCTCTTGGGCTGTCTTGGGGCCGTCTTGGGGCGCTCTTAGAAGCTTCTTGGGCAGTCTTGGGGCCCTCTTGGGCTCTCTTGGGCCCATCTTGGGGGCGTGTCGGGACGTCTGGGGACGATGTTGGAGGCCGCTGGGGCAGTCCTGGACGCTGTGAACCCCCAAACGTCGCACATGCAAAAATATACGTTTTCCGAGGTGAATGGGAAGACTTTTGCTTGTTGGGGCCCTCTTGGACAGCCTCTTGAGGCTCTCTTAGGGCTTTTTCGCAGCCTCTGGGGCCATCTGGAGACCATCTTGAGCGTCTGGGAGCGATCTTTCGGCGACTCGAGGCCTCTTGGGCCGTGTAGGGGGCGTCAAGGCGCCCTCTCGGCGCGCTCCTGGAGCGCCCTTGGGGAGTCAGCCGGGCATCGCCCGGGGTATTTATCGTCCAGGAGTCCCCAGGGGCCGCCACGCGCGCGCAAGCTAGAAATATTGTTAGCTTGTGACCAGAGATGTTAGCACGCCTTTTGCCCGTTGGGCCGGCGAATTTGCCGATCTCCCCCGAGCTGTCGTGCGTCAGGACCGTGTGCGCCAGGTGGCAGGCATATTGCAAGCGCGTGTCGATGCCATAGTCTGTCTGGAGCCACTGCCCCGTTCTAGGAGGCAAGACGGCTGACTTGAGGCAGGCTCGGCAAGTTAGCTTTGTAGTCGTTTCCGAGCTACGCCCTCTCCGCACCACAGCCGTTCGATAACAGTGCGATTTTCGCGCGCAAGCGCTTCCCTTCGAAGCAGCATCAAGATTCCATGGTGAGGTACAGTGCTGTTTTCGCGTGCGGGCGCTTCGTTGCGGAGCAGCAGCAAGACTGCATGGTGATGTACAGTGTTGTTTTCGCGTGCATGCGCTCCCCTGCGGAGCAGCAGCAAGATTCCATGGTGAGGTGTTTGTTACACCTGCCAGCCTGTAGCGATCTGCATTTCAACAGAATTGGGTGATGTTGGCGTGGCGTCTCGGAGGAAAACAGACGCAGAACCGCTCCGATGGATGCCCCACCTAGGTCGGGGCCTCGTCGAGAGCAGGCGCCATCCGAGCAGCATCGTGCACGCCCAGGAACTGGATCAATCGCCCCAGAGCGTTCCAGAACGCCCTGAGGGCTTTCTAGAGCGCTCGGGAAAGGCCGCGGCGCCCGGCGCATGCTCCAGAGGCGCCCGATCTCAGAGATCCCGAGTCGCCCCGCTGCGATGCTGTCCCAGCCTGGGTTTTGTCTGACAGGGGGCCTGCTCGCCAATCATCCCACGTCAGGGGCGGCAAAGATGGGGGCGAGGACTGGGGGGGTGGATATCATGGCGGGGGCCATGATATCTCCCCAGATCTCATGGCGCCTCTTCTTGTTTCAATGCGTCCCCGCCTCCCCACCTGGGCCGCGCACATGCCGCCGGCCATGATTTGCGCCCCCCCTCTTGGACGCAACCCTCTTGGCCGCCCCCGACTTCGCGGGGGGTGGACTGCTCCACGGAATGACCGCGCGGCGCCCGTGCAGTTGGGCAGACCCCCTGGGAGCGGGAGGCCTCTCGACTCGCGGGCAGAGGGCGCCACGGCGCGGCCGCCGGCGCCCCAGCAGGGTGCCGATTGCGGCGCGCAGCCAAGGAGGCGACTTCTGCCCCACTGCCCCCGGCGCAGCGCAGGTGCCCGCCGAGGGCCAGAGCCTGCCTACGCGCTGGCAAGCGGTCCCGCCAGCCCAGGCACGCGCCGCCCATCATGGCCGCCGCGGGAGGCCACAGAGGCAAGCCCTCCACCAGCGTCCTCGCGCCAGCAAGCCCACCTCCCGGGGGTGGCTGGACGCGCCCGCGGCGGCGGAGCAGGGGCAGCCCTGTCCCTGCGCCGCTTCCACCAGAGGCAGCTCTGGGGTGGCACAGGCTCAGGGGAGGGGGGGCGCATCGACCCCCCATCGCCCGTGGATCGCCGATAGGGCCCCGATACAGTGGGGGCGCGCATCAAGGAACCGTATGCTTTTCGCTCGGATATCCTGGGTTTCCTCGCTCCGCGCGCTGCGCGGTGACTTCCCGCAGCCGTTGAAGAAGCTGCTGCGTTAGTGGTGCTCCGGGTTTCCCTGCAGGTGCACTTCGCGCGCGGGTTTTCAGGGATGGGTTTCTTGCGAGGGTTTCTCGCGGCAGCGCCCGCACTGTAGCCCATCCCGCCCAGGAGGATCATGCGGATGCGCAGTCGAGGGCCTCTCGCCAATCCATCGGCAATGTATCGCCGATTCAAGCTCGACGCTCGCCCCCCGCAAGCCTGTCCCCCCCTCGCGTCCCCCCCTGCACCAGGAGCACCAGGAGGCGAGAACCGACCCCAGGCACAGTGTGGGCAGGGCAAACACGAGTTCGCGAGCACACGCTTTTCCAAGGTCAGCGCACACGCTCGAGAGGTCAGGCTCTTCTTGTCGCCTGCCGAGAACTGGCCCAGGAGGTAAGGAGCGCGCGACCCGTTTGTTGACCCTGTACTAGCCAGCCGCAGAAACACGCAAGCACACACAACACTCACACACACGCTCAAACACACACACACACACACACACTCACACACCAACACCAACACCTACACCAACACCAACACCACCAACACCAACACAACCAACACCACCAACACCAACACCAACAACACCAACAACACACCAACACCAATCACACCAACACCGACACCAACACCAACACCAACACCAACACCAACACCAACACCAACACCACCACCACCACCACCACCACCACCACCACCACCACCACCACCACCACCACCACCACCACAACACACACACACACACACTTCAACACACCTACAAACCAACACACCAATACACACCAACACCAACACCAACACCACCACCACCACCACCACCACTACCAACAACACCAACACCAACACCAACACCCACACCCACACCCACACCCACACACCCACACACCCACATACTCACACACCAACACACACAAACATACACCAAGACACACACACACACACCAACACACCAACACACCAACACACCAACACGCCAGCACCAACACCACAGCCACCACACACCACACACCACACACACACTACACGCACGCACACACACGCACACACACATGCACACACGCACACACGCACACACGCACACACGCACACACGCACACACGCACACGCACACACGCACACACGCATACACGCACGCACACACACGCACACACGCACACACGCATACACGCACACACGCACACACGCGCACACGCACACACGCACACATGCACGCGCGCGCACGCGCGCGCACGATCGCACGCGCACGCGCACGCGCACGCGCACGCGCACGCGCACCCGCACGCGCACGCGCACGCGCACACGCACGCTCGCGCACGCGCACGCGCACGCGCACTCTTGGACTGCCGTCTGGCAACGCCATCGCCTGCCGTCCCCGCGCCCCCCGCCCGAGGCGCGTGCCTGGCCCGAGCTGCCGCCCCTCTCTGTCGACCGGCTGCGTCGCGCGGCCCTGCGCTTCCCGACCAAGACAGCCGTCGGGCCCACCAAAATCCCACCACGGCTGCTTGCGCATCTCAGCGATGAGGGCCTCGACATCTACTGCTGCCTGTTCGAGGCATGCGAGCGGCAGCCTGCCTGGCCCGCCGAGCGGGTCGCTGCGGCCCTCGTCCGCCTCCCCAAGAAGGACGGCGCCTCGCGGCTGGCCGGGCTGCTCCACACGCTGATCAGGTGGTGGTCCAGGGCACGGCGACCTTCGGCAGCTGCGTGGGAACGCGACCACTGTTCGCCGCATGCATGGGGCAACTTCTCTGGGCGGTCCTCCTCCGACTCGGCGTTCGACCTCAACCTGCAGACGGAGACGGCGCGGGCGCTCGGACTCACCAGCATCACGGTGCTCATAGATGTCTGGAAGGCGTTCGAGACGGTGGCGCCCACCGTCCTCATGGCCGAGGCGGCGGCGCTCAATCTGCCACTGCGGCTTACCTGGATGCTCATCCGCGTGTGCACCCAGCCTCGCTTCCTGTTCGCCCAGGGGGCCCACGGCTCTGCTGCCCGGTCAGCACCGCGCAGGGCATCGTTGCTGGATGTGGCCACGCCACCACCCTGCTGGCCGTGCTCACCCACCGCGCGGTCGTCCGAGCTGGAGCGTTCCCCCCCGCCGTGGTGCCACGCCAGCTGGTGGGTGACCTCTCGTCGGCCTGGTCTGGGTGCCCGAGCCGGGCCAGCGCCCGGCTGGAGCTTCCCCTGACGGCGCTCCTGGAGGATCTCGAGTAGCTACGCCTTCCCGTCAACGTCTCCAAGCTGGGGCTGCACGCGAGCCACGCCAAGGCGGCTCGCGCGTTCCAGGCCAGCGCCCGTCGGCTACACATTAAGCCAAAGGCTT